ACTCCAAAATTAAGAAAATCAAAAGATTAACCCTTGAAGGATTACCAAAGTTAAAAATTTTCATAAAAGAGAAAATTTCTCAGATCATTTACAATAGTATTCCAAATTCAACATTTTAAATCTCAATTAATACTTATTATACTCAAATCAGAGTTTGAAAACTATTGTGAAAGCTTGAAAGTCAAACAGACCTAAAACAATGAGTTTTTAAAACTCAAAATAGGATTTTGTATAGAAAAAAATATGTGTGCCATGCCTTGTGACATATGTGGCGTGGCTTATCTTTCTATGTGCTATGCGTTGCGGTATATTGCATGAAAAATGATAGTATCAGTTACTGTCATTTGATAACACAAGGAGTAAAATTCTGACACATCTTAAATCTCTGTCCGACATTTGATTGAAGTAGTTTCGGTGTCTACACAAAGCTTTCTCCTTGCTCTAGTTGATGGCACCAGTCTCACACTCAAATTCTTTTTTATCAAAAGTTAGATGCCAAAACCCATTTTTAGCACTTTTCACAAAAATCTCACAAATTTGGTGTCTTAGAACAACCATAAGTGTCAAAAGCCTACACTGACCATCCAACCACATTCAATAGACTATAGTAGACCTATGCAATGCATCATATACAAACAAAAACACATATATCTCAAAAATCATTACTCAACTCTGATTTTCATAAAACATAAGGGGGAGGAAAATGTTGCACAAAATCATCATTTCATTTCAAATCTTTGAACATGTATATATTCATACTTGTACAAGTATTTCAGCCCTATCCATGGGTTTACAACCAAAACTCACTAATTCAGAGCACAAATACACAAGTTGTATACTATAATAATGCAAGTAGTACAAAAATAATAACATTTGATCCTTGTTGACAATTACACAATATTAATACATAAGTAAAGTAAAGAGGCATAAAAGTAGGATTTCATCACAATCCTGCGCCTCGAAGTGCTTTTCCCTGACTTTGATCCGATGAGCTAAGCCTTGAAATATTGAGAATTAAGGGGTGAGTATAGCCATTCAGTAACCAAGTTTCACCTAATATATACAATTGCATATTAATTGTAAATAAATGCGAATAAGCAAGCACACCATATAAAACATACAAGAAACTTGGCCATAGTTTATAAGACTAACAACCATGTAACCGAGCCTAAAACGCACATAATCATTTTATTTTGTAATACACAACACGGGATTGCAATAATATCAACCATGCACCCTTAACACATATGGAATCATAATACTAACAACTATGTGGTCAGATTTATATGAATGATCAAATAGAAACCTTATACCCTCTTGTTACCTCCGACATGAAACCGGTAGCTATCATGTGGCTACATCCTTCACGGACTAACCTCGTCTTTCACTTGTGAGGAGCTACAGGCCAAGGTTAACTCACTCACTTATGTAATCTAATTTCTCCCAATACTAATAAGCATGGGATGTCGTACACCCTAATCTAGCCTCCTCATGAACTGATGGAGATTACTTTAGTTTGAGTCCCTCGTAGAATAAGTGGGATAGTCTTGAATTAACCATGGGACAAAGACTACCTCTTTATTCTAACAGTTGGTGCCAAAGCAAGTTCTTGATTCCAATGATTACTACTAATACTATGTGAATTTAAATCAATTTACTCCTCTCCTTAGGCGAACTCCTATCAATAATCATGCTATGCACATTATCACATAATTATGCAACTCAATTACAAATCATATCATAAGTCATTTCACTTTTCTCACTTAGTCAATGATTGCACATTACACATCATAATAACACATTATTCTCAATTCATCATCATTATTCATATATATATATGTATATAAGCACCCATAGTATTTCCACATGGTCACATCAACCGCATTCTAAATTTGCATCAAAGATTTAAAATATGAATCATATCTCAATTAAACTTATTTTTAATAAATAATTAATTAATATTCAACTATACAGAGTTAAGTTTTCCTTAGTTACCTTAAACCTTTAAGAGGTCAAATGTTTACCCCTCACACAAAAACACTTCCAAAGCTTCTACCAAGTCGAAATGGTGCCAAAATCGAACCTCATTACATTCATAACACAAGGATATCATCATTATCCCATTTCTTGAGTTTTACCAATATAGATCTCCACACACTTTATCTATTAGTCTATAAATTACTATCTATTCATACCCAATGGGTCCACTAGATTCTATTAACGCACATTATTATTAATAACTCTTCAAACCACCAATAAGGGACATAAACCTCTCCCAACTACCTCATTTATGTCAATTTTTGGATATATAATATTCCTAAGAATCAACTACTTCCACAACCATTAATATGGTGTTCGAATACCTTAAACAACTTCAAATATATCCATTTTAATCAGTGAAAATGGACCATACTCTTAGGGATAGAAAATAGACTTTTCAACTTAAACCCTATAATATATCTCTATAAATGAGGGAGAGAAAGGAAGATGAAGACAAAATAAACTTACATTGGATGTTTGGGAGTTTTAAAACATCACCAATGGGAACTAATGTCATGCCTTAGCAGAGCCTAAGTCGAACTCCTCGTTTTCTTCTCCCCCTCCTCTTCTGTTTTTGCAAGCAAAATTGTATCTGATTTATTAAATTTTTATTCGTGCACTGTGACATGCGTTACCCTTCACCGCACCGCATGGCACAGAGAGACTTATTGCATTTAAATCTGCCCCTGTGTGCTGCGTCAGATTAACCACATATCACGACATATGGCACAGAGGGTACTCTTTTACTTTTTCTTCCTCTTTCCTTCAAACCAACTTTTAAGGTTGAAATCACCACAGTTATACTAAATTAAGCCCCTCTGACCACACATCTTATTAACTCATTAATCACACTCATTAGGTTAATAAATCAAGATTAAATTTTCTCAGATGTTATAATATTACTATTGTATCTTGTAAAAACACGAAATCTCATTTGAGATATGATTGTTTAATAAAAAATGACTTGTTCAAATTGAGATTCACAAATGTAACTTAAAAATTCACTAACATGACTTGGGAATTCACTAACATGGCTTAGGATTCACTAACATCAATCAAGATAATTCACCAATAAATTGTCCAATTTTTTAAAAATTTAGAAAAAAAAATACTTAATATTAATTGCTATATCATATACATTTGACCAATAAAAAATACTTAAGCACATAAAGTTTAATTTACATCATACATACAACTAAAACATAACTTGTGAAAGTCCATATCACAGTTGTCTAATCTATGTTTTTAATCTTGTTGGTCCTCCATGCTTAACATTTCAATCTTTTTTCACTTGTGAGGCTACTCTATTATGTGGATGAGTCACCAATCAATACAATAGCTCAAATCTCATTTTACTCAACTGTTCCTACACAATTAGAGCAAGTCAATTAATGGAGGCATGTTATGACCACCTCATTCCTCTTTCGCAATATTGTTGTGCTATCTAAGATAAATGATGAAATGCATCCCACAACTAGCTCTACATAAAAAATTTTCAAGATAAAAATCTATGAATAATTTATTACTTCATAAATATCATTTCTGTAATCCCAACTATGAACTAAAATAATTCAGCATTCATGTTACATTTTTAACAAATGTGTACTTTTCATTACAAAATAAAAAAAAATCAGCATCCTCATTACATCTTTCTTTTATTCATTCAATTTTTTTCAATACTATCTATATCAGAAATCATTTATTGTGTATATATAAAATCTATATAATCATCAATAAGATTTCTTTTTTTCTCAGATATAGAAGAGAAACGATGTAAAATAGTATTTATAAAGATATAAAAATTGTCTTGCATCCAAGAGAAAAGAGAAGACGTAAAAGATAGAGAAGAGTAAAAATGTAAAAGTCTAGATTTTTCACGCACGAAAGGGGAGAAAATGTAAAAGAAGCAATACATGTAATTACCTATTATTAAAAAGGGAGAAGATGAAAACTCAGATGATGATCTACTCCACTAAAAACTATGATTTTTTTGCCCAATTTTTTCAGGCATGAGAGCACATGAGAGAAGATTTTTCACACCCAAAACGAATAGAGAATACAAGCATAAGTTGTTATCTTTTAGTGTTTAGTGGAGGGTAATTCTGTAAGGTTAGGTATGTTTTTTATTTCAATTTAAGACCATGGTCCTTAATTAAAATTTTAATATTTTATTATCCTTAACTGAGATTAATGTCTTTAGGGAGTCTTTAATTACCATTTTCCTAATAAAATAATATAGTAAAGAAATAGCAAATAAACTAGAGTTTTGCTACTTGCTCGTAAGTTCCTTTCCTTGATTTGAGTAACAACCAAGTCTTAAGTATCAATTACAGCCCCTAACATAAATCAAAGACACAGAACATAGAGAAACAAGAATGAACAATAGGAAATAGTGAAGGAAAATAATAGAGGCTAAGAAAATGATTAAGGCAAGAAGAAATCAAAATTCTGCATCCCATCTCAACAGCAAAACCATGCATACATACCCATTAATCTCTCAACTTTAATGGCTTCTCCTGTACTCTGGTACTCAGTGGCAGAGCCAAGATCTTTGATTAGGAGGGGCAATGATGGAGCTAGAATTCTCAATAAAAAGAAGACATTTATGTCTCTTCCAAATCAATTTTTTTCTTTTCTTCTTCCTTTATTTCCTATCCAGCTTTTAATTATAGATTCATATATGCAGTGAGCTAGCAAAAAACATTCATTATTTATCATTGGTTTTTTTTAACTAATTTTTAAATAGTATTCAGGATGAGGAGCGAGTCTATTTAGTCATATTAGATTTTTTTTTTCTATTTTTAGACAATTAATAAATAATATCAGTATTTAGGTATAGTGAAATTGTGGGTTAATGTTCATGAGGTTAAGTTAAAAATTTAAAGAGATCTTGACTAAAAAATTAAGATTGAAATGGGTTTAAATTTTAAAATACGAAAATAAGGAGGTGCAAAGTATAATAAATAAAAGGTGTAAATTGCAAAATATAAAAATCTATGCTCCCAAACATGTTATTTTTCCAAATATGCCCCCTTAATTACATATGGCTCCGCGATTGCTAGTACTCCTTCACAAGAAATCTAGTGCTTGCTTCGTATTTCTAGCCTCATTAGCCATCTCATCATCTTGGGACCCAATAGGATTAGGCCACAACATATCAGATCGTCTCATGTTTTTCTTCATAATATGCAATTGGAGTAGGTGCTTTCTGCCTTCAAGATGCTGCTTGAAAGCAGACACATCAATGCACTATATGTTGCATAACCCACACCATTGTCTCTTATTAGAGGTCTCTCCACATGTTTCCTTGCTCATGTCAAGCCTCTGGATTTCAACCCTACGCTTTTTCCCCTTAAAGTGCAGGTTGAGCAAGTCTTCGGTCATGCATGGAACTTTACACAGTTCACACCATTGGATTTGATTGCCTTCCCCCCTCCATTCCATTCTTTTGATTATGCTCCAAATCTTGCTTTCTTAGCTTTGACCTATGCTTTCGACCCATCAAATGTTGTGTTAGATTGGTTGGACTTGAGCAAGACAACCTGCAGATTTCGCAGTATAACTTGTCTAGGTTCTGACATTCCAGAGGTTGATCCTATCGATTGATTAGTTCTTTTTGCTTGGTTCCTAAAAGGCATGGACTTGATAATGGCATTTGCTGGAAAGTTTGAATTGATGATGAAGTAACCTGAAAATATGAGAACATTGAGACAAACACTTGATGTGCAAAAAAAATCCAATACCATAACGTAATTTTTCAAGAAGCACCCACCCTCTGATGTGCTTACTGTTCACAAAACAACAACAACAACAATAATGTTTCACACAATTAGAGACCAGAAATTAAGAGGATAGGATTGATTTGAACAAAGATATAGCAAAGCCATTGTGGCTAAGGTATTGCAAAAATAACAGGCTAAACATCAAGTGCAGAGGAAGAAGCTCTTAAATGGAGTGATCATTAATTAGAACGGAGATTATACCTTCCTCTGATATGCTAGCTCCTTCTGAATGGCGATCTCCATGGGCATTGTACTCTGCTCCTTCTCATCACCACCCATATCTCCACTAGAAATTCTTCCTCTTCAACCCAATAAACATGTCTTCACAGTCCTATGCCATTTAGCAATGTCTTGCCTCAAGAACTTGTTTTTAATACTGAGATAAAGGTTGCTTCACGCTGTAACAAGTGCCTATAAGGATTTTGGAGGAATATCATGTACAAATTGTTATCAGTAACGAATCAAACTCGGTAGTTTGTAGGCGCATCATGGTAAATGACCACAACGTCCTTTTCCTTTTCCTTTTCCTTTTTTTTTTTGAAGATAATTATAAAACCAAAACAAAAATAGAATTCTGAATATTTATCAAAGGAAAACAAAAACAAAAAACTGTAAACACAACGAAATTGAGCAGCCTCTTCAACATAAGGAATGCTACAGGGTTCATTTTTCTATACACAAGATAAGAATCATGTACGCAATAAAAACACGTCATTTTTTTACACTAAAATGTGCCCACAGTATACACATTTTCTTTTGTATTATTATTATTTAGGGAGAACGGCAGAGGTCCTTCAAGTTAGGTCTCAAATGTTTAACTGTAAAAATTTACAAGTTTGATTATTAATTTTACAATTTTGTTAGGATGAAATCATAACTTGTGTTCTAAATTTTAATGGATGAAATAAATTTATTTATTCTTCAACCATGTTAAAATTTAAAAAACAATATTATAACAAAATTGTAAAATCGAGAAATAAACTTATAAATTTTTAAAATTTGATACTTGAAATTTAATTTAAATTAATTTATCATTTTGATGTTAGCAAAAAATAAAAATTTTTTTAAAACTTCTTTATCATTCTCCCTATTGTTTACTCCCCTTTTGGGTTCAGTATGTTAGCCAGCATAGATAACACCTCCTTCATATTGGGTCTAGCTTGCGGTGCCTCTGCCGTGCACTGTATCCCAATACGTAACAACTCACCCATCTCCTCCGCTCCCTCTCCGAGCCCAGAACCCATTAGCAAGACTGGTATCATGGTCCGACTTACTACGGGCCCAAGCCCATATCGACAGCCTGTGACTCGCCGGGCCCACTCCAACAGGCACTCCTCCCCACCGTCCACCGCCCTCCTCCCGGTGGCTAACTCCATGGCCAACACTCCGAAGCTGTACACATCACCTTTCGTTGTGGCCTTCCATGTCTGACCGTACTCAGGTGCCACGTAGCCCACCGTGCCGGCCACCATGGTGGTCACGTGACTCACTCCATTTTCTACTACTCTAGCTAGCCCGAAGTCTGTGACTTTAGCCTTCCCGTGTTTGTCCAGAAGCACATTGCTAGCCTTGACGTCTCTGTGAACAATTGGAGGGAAGCATTCGTGGTGCAAATGGACCAATGCTCGAGCCACGTCAATGGAGATCTCTAGCCTTCTCTTCCACGTGAGTCTTGTTCTGTCTGTAACAACATCTTCCAAGCTTCCTCCCTCCATGTATTCGTAAACTAGGATTTTCTCCGACCCGTTTAGGCACCACCCGTATAGTGTGACCAAATTGGGGTGTGGCCAGCCGAAACCGTTTCCGCTTAGAACCTCCATTTCTGCTCTGAACTCTCTTTCTCCTTCTAGTCCTTCTCTTTGAAGCTTCTTAACCGCGACTTCTATTCCGTCGGGGAACACTCCTCTGTACACTGTGCCAAAACCGCCTTTTCCTATGACTCTGTCGTCGGAGAAGTTTCCGGTGGCTCTTAGAATGTCGGTGTGCGTGAATGCTATCTTGTTCAAATGAACGACCTTAATTAGGTCAGATGACCATGGTAACGAATTGTCGGAATCGTGTTGGTTTTTTGTGTCTTCCAATAGGTATCCTTCTGGGTCGTGTGAACGGGTTTTCGGTAATGAGCATATTATGAAAGAGAGGAGCCCAAATACCAACAGAGCGAGTGTGATAGCCAGGAAAGCCAAGAACATTGACAGCTTCGTGCGGTTTCTGTTTCTGATTTTGTGGTCTCTCCGAGAGGTCGTGTTTTTTATGTCGTTTGGGGCGTCATCGATGAAGCTCGGTAGGGTCAAGAGATGGTCTCCCAAATACGAATCTTTATCGAATGTGGCTAATTGTCCCGTTGGTGGGATCATACCAGAAATGAAGGGATTGTAAGAGATGTTGAATTTACTGAGCTCTGTCAAGTTGTTCAAGCTTGTCGGGAATGTCCCTGAGAAATTGTTGTAGGACAAATCCAGATTCCGAAGACATTTAAGCTTTCCAATGTCCCATGGAACCTCACCTGAAAAATTGTTTCTTGTTACGTTCAACACCACAAGTGGCAGATCTCCCATCACCGCAGGGATTTTGCCGGAAAATTTGTTCATCCCCAAGTGCAGCATACTGAAATTCTGCATGTTCCCAATTTCTGAAGGAACTTCGCCGATGAGATCATTCCCGCTTAACTGAACATACCCAGAGATCTCCTTCAGTCTAAAAGAGGACCCAGATGAGCAAATCGAGAAGATTCCATAACCTTTAAGTAACCTATCCCAAATGGTTATGCAATTTTTTCTCGTGAGGATGCTGTATACAAAGCTGAAAGGAGGGTAATCCGCAGGTATCCATCTCTTCATTGCCGAACATTCAACTGAACCAGCAGGGATTTTATTGAATTCATTCCGATTCAAATCAAACGTGGCCATGGCGTTTCTTCCAATGTTGCTCAATTCACGAGGGAAATTCCCAGTAAGCTTATTGTTTTCAAGGTTTAGCCACAGCAAACTTGTGCAGTTTCCCAGCTCTTTGGGTATGTCTCCACTCAATGAATTGTTTGCAAGCATTAACCACAAAAGAGAATCCAAGTTTCCCAGGCTTGGCGGGATTGGCCCTGTTAAATTGTTGAAAGAGATATCAAGTGCTTGAAGCTGAGCCAAATTTCCAAACTGAGGAGGAATATGTCCAGTGAATTGATTGTGGGCTAACATTAAGAACTTCAGAGATGTCATCTGAGAGATTTCAATAGGCAATGGACCTGAAAAACTGTTGTTACTAAGGTCTAAGCGAGAGATGTTGGGTAATTTGAGAATCCCTGATGAGTTTAATCCTCCTGTGTAAGCATTCGAATACAAAAGGAGGAACTTTACCTGCTTGAGCTTCCCAAGTGTGTCTTGTATCTCTCCACCAAAAGCGTTGCCGCTCAAATCCAAGAAATTTAGATTTTTCAAGTTTGAAAGTGTCTCTGGGATGCTTCTTGAAAATGTATTGTTGGCGAAGTACAATGCTTGGAGGCTTGAGATGGATCCCAATTCAACGGGAATATCCCCAGAAAATTTGTTTCTTGAAAGATTCAGAATTGCAAGATTCGTACATTTACTGACATTCTTCGGTGCATTTCCTGTAAACCGATTGTATGAAACGTCGAGTACTTCCAGCTTACAATTTTCTGGGAATGCTTCTTCATTCAGATGCCCAGTGATATAGTTCTCTGAAACTGAAAACTCCTTGAGCCTCGCAAATCCCATCCAAATACCCCCACTGAGATTGTTGGTGCTCAAATCCAAGTACTGCAATTTTAAACACTGATCGAAGCGATGATCAATCGAACCGGTGAAGTTATTCCCAGAAACATTCAGAGTAACTAAGTTGTCACAAATGGCAGGAAAATTCAACCCTATGTCCCCATGAAGCCTGTTTTCCGACAAGTCCAGCGTCTCTAATCTTGTCAATCCAGTTAAATCCATCTCCCCCTCAAGAAGATTATGGGAGAGATTAAGATATACGAGGTTACTGCATCGTCTTAAATCCTCTGGGATTTCTCCGGTGATGGTGTTTGTGGAAAGGTCAAGGTGGGTGAGCTCGGTAAGCAGCGAGAAATTCTGGAAAATCTCGCCAGCGATGCTGCTGTCGGAAAGGTCTACGCCGACCACTCTGGCGGCCGAGTTTGTCCCCTTTGGGCTGCATGAGATTCCTGGCCATTCACACGGATTTGAGCTGTTTGTGTTCCAGAGTTTGTATCTTCCTCGATCTGTCCGAGTTTGATTGTTAAGGTAAGTTCTCAGCTGTAGCAGAATCTGTCTCTCCGTGTCCAGAGAATCGTGGGCAACAATTTTACCTGTGGGATCAACAAAAGGAAAAGAAAGAAAATCAGATTTCGCCTTGGGAAACGAAGTAGAGAATACCCTCGTAGACAAGAATCAATAAACCTCAAAAACCCATAATAAAATAGCAGTCAAACTGTTCAGAGAATCTAAAAGCACACTGACAAAAGACAAGGCTGATATAAATATAATTATGTTAACGTTGTGTGAGGGGCCAGGACTGTAAAAAGGAATTCCGATACAGATGAAGAAGTGAATCATGATGAGAATCTGGGTGTGATGCCAAAACCCACATAGAATTGAACGCAAGAATCAGACTTTCGAACTCGGGACCTGAAAAAAGCATTAAGAAACAGATGTACAGGAAGCCCCATGACCGTGTTTCCTGCTCTGACATCTATGTTGTCTCGGGACCCGTCCTCCTCTTCCGCTGCTCGTTGCTTCTTCTTTGTTAGCAAAATTGACACACAGATGATTCCCAGAGGACGATGACGAGATCAAGAGGGAAGCTTCAGAGATACGAGGAAGCAGAACCGATGGGGACGTGTGTTGGGAGTGATATTCTGGCAGGAAGAAAGTGTGAAAGCATGAAACAGAGCACACATCCTTCTTTTGCTGTTGTCTTTTGGACTTTGAAGGGTTATAATAAATGAATCATTAAGAAGAGCTGGTTAAAGCTGTTTATAGTGAAGGACGTCAGAGCAGTAATGCGTCGCTACTACTTCGGGGGTATTTGTTTAATGAATTTCAAAGTGGGAGGGAGAGAGAGGTTTAGAAGCAAGGGAAGGGCTGAGCCGCAGTTGCTGACTGGCTCAGTGCCGAGAAGCTCCAGGGAGGAGGAGAGAGCCAAGGTGGGAGGTGCGTGGGTGAAGGAACAAGTTGTGACGAAATTATAGAAAAGAAAGAAGAGCAGGTTGCTTGGTTGGTAACATTTCTAAGAAGATAGATAGATTCGAAGTGGTGTGGAAAAATTAGGAAGGAGATGTTTTGGGAATCCAAAGAAAAACAAAGCCACATGGACATGGTTTTTGAATCCCCTCGGGAGAAGTTGGACCAAAATGCTTCGTATTTGTTAGTTCTCATAAGCGGGTGCCGCCTTTCACCCGTACGGGGAAACTTGATTTGTTAAATAATTCCGGTGGAATTATATTTTAAAATTTAAATCATAATTTATTTATTTTTTGACTCGGGATAATTAAAATGTATGATGGGGAAAACGAAAGTTGATTGACCGAGGAAATGAATGCGATGATATTCAATATTTTAATAAAACGAGAGAGAGAGAGAGAGAGAGAGAGAGAGAGAGAGAGAGAGGAACAAAACGAAGAAACGTGGGAGGGAGACAGAAGTTGAAATGCAAGATGACAACAGCTTCGGTGCCCCGTGCCTTGCGCCAAATGGACGAATTTATGAGGCAAATCACAATATTATATACAGATTCATCTTTTTAATTTAATTGGAGTTTGGAAGGAACATATATTTCCTTCCAAAAGTTGATAAGCTACATATTTATGGCTGGGGCAAGGGCGCCATAAAAATTATTGAAGTTAGCCCTATATCTTACCAATCTTGGATTTAAATTTTACAAGTGTCTTGAGTCCTTTCATCTACTGTTACTCTAATTTTATTTATAAATTATTTTTAACATATTTTATTAATATAAAAAAAATTTTAAAATTTATTAACTTTGTCTTATATTTTAAAAAATTATTAACTTTATTCCTATTGAATATATATATTTTCGTAACATATTTTGTTTCTCTAACGTTTAATAAAGAGTAAAATAAAAAATTTATAATAAAAATTTAATGACGTGATTTATAAATAGAATTAAGAGAATTTTTCTCTCTCTATCTTATAAATAGGATTAAAGGGAGTAATTAATATACACAATGCAATTGTAGGATTTTTTAAAATACTTGAAAATTCATGCTTGATCTTAAATAAACAAAATAATGAACTAATGAGTGATTTTTATGAGAATGCATTTCAACTACTCTTTTCCAACAACACAAATAGTTGGATTAAGCTATAGAGCATGGCAAAAAATGGAGTTGTAGTTTTAATGTTCTCTGTGTATCTTGCGCAAACAATTTTCATGGTGTTTGATTGAATTATCGAGATAATATTACATGAGAAACTTATTGGATGTGAGGATTTAAAATACTCATGGATTGTGCATTCATAAAACTTGCAGGAAATTAGATAATTAAAAAAAAAACACAAAATTATAGAATTTAAGGGGGAAAGGAAGAAAGGGTGAGCAGGGGGAGGGGGGGGAGAGAGAGAGAGAAGGGTGTGTTGAAAGGAAAGATGGTCAAAAGAAAATGATGTGTTTGGTTGGAATCCTTCTTTATTGGTGTTTTTGAGGCAAAACAAAAGCTCTCTTCACATATAATCAATCTCTCACTTTTCTGGTGGCCCCCACACGCACGCACGCACGAACGCTTGTATTTCTCTTTCTTCATTTAATAATATAATTAATTAATAAATAATAATAATTAAGTAATTGATTAGCGCATCTTTGAACAAACAGCAACGATGGTATTGGTTGGTGACTAACGACACAAGTGCCGCCTCTCCTCACCTTCTTTTTGTCTTCGCTCCAAGTTTCATCATATGTAGTGTGCATTCGCAGTACCGCTTTAATGGCCCTTCAGATTATATTCATTTTTGTTATTTTAATACAAATGATTGTTTTAAATTCATTTGTTATTTTCAATTACCCTGATGTATAAAAAATACTCCACACTCCACTGACTCGTTGTTACTGCTTGATTAATTAAGTCGAATCGGATTGGGCTCAATGACGAAGCTGTGGGGAGGCAAGCGGGGCAGTGCTATTATTTCCATGTATCTTACTCGTAAAATAACATTGAAGGCTTTTTAGCCCCCGTTCCTCTTTCATTTTTCCATTCATGCCCTCCAAATACCTTATTCTGGATTCATCCCTGATTGGGTTCACATTTTAACCTTTTTTTTAAAAAAAAAACCAAGGATATAGAATTGAGATTGACTGTCTTATCTGGCCAAGGAAAAAAAAAAATCACAATGTCTTGTCAATAAGTTAAATGGTTTTTCTGCTAATATAGCTTAGCACCGTACAAAACACCAATGAACAAAAATATATCAGTGTTTTGTAGTTTTGGATAGTAAATTTTTTTGACCCAAAGTTTTGGACTTATTTTATAAAACTTCATGAACTATAGATAGGCGAGAGGATCCAGATTCTTGTTAGATTTCTGGTAAGCAAGATTCTCGTTCGAACAACCAAAACAAAAAAAAAAAGTGAAATGAATTGTTTTATATTTCTAAGTTGAAAAATTCAAAATTACTTCTTTTTTATACAAATTAAAAAGTCGGCCAAATCACCCCTCAAGTTACGTTTCTCTTTCTCTACAATTGTGTTTTTTTTTTTTTCAATTTTCTCCCACGATCACGCCTTTTTTATTTTTATAATTGTATGGATTTAAAATAAAACATCAAGTCCAAAATAAGGACAAAAGGGTTAATATTAACACAAAAGCTATATATAAATACCCTATAAATATGATTACAATAAATACTTTTTATATCCTATAAATAGGACTAGGAGAGTAAATAATACTCCCCCCCCAAAATAATACATTTTTAGATAAAATTAACCAAATCAATGAAATTCATTAAATTTAATTTACAATATTGCTTTCTCAAAATAAAAATATAAAATTTTAAAAATATCCTTAATTTAATACTTCATTTATAAAAGAATATTAAAAATAGAGAATATAATATAAAGAGTAATATTGAAAACAAATTATTAATAAAATCTTATTTTTTATAAAAGTGTCTTATATTTTAAAATGTTAATTTTTTTAAAAAATATTTTGTAAATTGAGATGTAAGAGCATGTTATAATGCATTGTGGATTAAAAAATATCATTTATTGTGAGTATATAGGTTAGCGCAATATGTTGATTTTGATTTAAAAAGAAAGGGAAGGGAAGTCAAGGCAATGGGGCAGGGATTTGAGCTAGCGTGACTAATTGAACTCTGATTTAAAGTGTGGTTGAGACGTCCAAGTCTCTAGACTGTTGGTTTGTTCTTATCGTTAATAAATATTCATAACAATATTTACATGCAGGCAGAAAATCATCGCACGTGTTAATTTCAACACATTCACATCCAAACAACCCTACCTCATGTTCCTGTTGTCTAAACCAAAGTCATTCAACACATATATGTTAATGAGGTAATCTAGTTGACTTATACGTATGATCATACTTGGAAAATGTTCATACACAAACCTACTTTGATTTGGAAATTTTGCCTATCTACGATTCTACGTATTAGTTTCGTAATCCTCTAAGCATGAATTAATTAAACCAGTTATTTCCTTTTTTTTTTTTGGCGGTGGATGTTTTTGCAATATTAGAAATTTTTTGGTCGCAGTATTAGCAATTCAATTTGGTGACATTTACCTGAGGTATTGGCTGTTTGCATATAATTAATATACTATGTAAGTGTAAAAAACTAAAATAGAATGAGCAGAGCACTAATAACGGTGATGAAGATGAGTAGATTGTATATAAAATCTTACGTTTAAACTTATGTGTCATTGCGTGCGTGTGTGTACAAATGGATGAAATAACTTTTACTTCTTAAACTTTCTCTTAATTATCAATTTAAATCTTAAATTTTTACTTGATACAATTTAATCATTGTAGTTTATTGTATTTAAAAGTTAGGGAGAATGGCAGTAAAATCTTAAAATAAAAGTAATAAAAATCAGTCCCAAACAATTTTTTTTAAAAAAAATGAGTTGCAAATAATAATTAAAATAGTTACAAACAAAAATTTCAATTATAAATTGAGAATAATTTTTAAAATTTAAATATTTGCATTTGAAACTTCTAAATTTACAATTATTTAAATTAATATTTATAATTTAATTTTTTTTTTTACAATTTTATCATAGATTTAAATGTCATTAATTCTCTTTTTCGTGATTTAATTTTCATTTTTTAAAAAATTATAGGAATTGAGTTGTATCAAACCAAAAAATATAAGAATTTAACTCTTTTGAATCAAAAAAATTATTGGGACTAAATCGTTTTGATTCAAAATTCATGACTAAATTTATAATTGAAAAAAATACAACAAATAAATATAAGGGAAAATCACATATAAGATCCACTGAAGGACATATTCATGATGCAGGCCTCATAGATTCTAATATTCCTCTATAGGCCAAAGGTCTCGATTGTAATTATACTTTTAAGTGAAAACACAAACCACTCTTAATGAATAAGAATATCTATACTGCATTGTTAACCAAAAAACATTAGTAAATATAGCAATATACTTCACCTTAGAATCTAAAAATTGTATGAAGAAATCAATTTAGCAAAATAGTAGTACATTTCTTTTGCATTATACAATCAAGAGTAGTTTTAAACTATTTTCTAATTAAATAATTTATATAATATATGTGTGTTTCATCAATATAGTTGTTTTAATACTATTAAAAAGAGAACAAATTAATTGAGAAAAAAAACCACTACGGCTTGACCCATATTAGTCGAAGTTTAATATGATTATTGGGTAATTCAAGGAAAAGATTTTCTCCTCTTCCCCATTTCTTCTTTGAATCAAAATTTCAATGGTTGAAATTTAATATTTTATAGAACTATTATTATAATATTAAATAACAATAAATAAATTTAAACTATTAGAATTTAATCTAAACAATTTACAACAGTATTTTATAAAATATTTTTTAATATTTTCACAGCAGTTCTAAAACTAATATTATAATAATTTGATAATAAATTAAATTTCAGTTATTAAAATTTAATTTAATAATAAAATTGTGAAGAGGAGGGGAAGGAAGAGAAGAGAATCCTTCTTAGTGATTTGATATATATATATATATATATATAAAATCTGATCTCGCAAAACCAACTAAAGTTTATAAATAATTACTGGTCGTACGCGGGGAAGTGCATGAGAAAGCAGAACAAAGATACAAAGTGCTAATCAAATATTGAGAAGTGTATGAGAAATCAGAATGGAGCTATTTTGCTTTGATATGTCTTTACTGGAGAGATGGGGACCAAAGATGCAACCTCTTTTTGTGCGAGTTGCTTAAAGCATCATTTTTCCCTATCAAAGCGCTTATTCCTAGTGGAAACAATGAGAAGCATGCAACAGCAATCCCACACACTCGCACGGTGCAAACAAAAAGATTACATGAATTATAATGGAAATACACCCCAACGGCATACTTGTCCTCTTGGTTGTATCTCTCTTGACTCTTTTATCCATATCTTACAGGGTTGTGAGAAAGCTCGTAATGTTTAAAAAAAAATTAGTTAATCCTACCAATCTCTAAATACTTTCTTATCTCTGTGTGTGCAGGATTGTATTGTTTGGAATACAAAAAATGAAGCAGGTAACCTAAGTATAAGAAGAACAAATTGTCAAAGACTCTTTGCACTTGCCTGCTAGAAGATATGGAAGATAAGATGCAACATGATCTATTCTATTAATAATAACTAAGATAAAGATATCGTCTTTTCTTGCACTCAATAGATTATTAGCGATTTAAGGCTTCAAACTAGAATCAATCATCTGAGTAAAAGTGGTGCAAGACATGAAGCTAAGCGGAACACTCTTGCACCAGGATAGGTCAAGCTCAACATTGATGGATTTGTCAACATTAATGGCATTATTTCTTGCGAGGGCATCATAAGGGATGATAAGGGTAATTGGGTCAAGGGTTTTCATAAAGAATTTTGGTTACTATCCCAACATTGTTGTTGAACTTATGAGGATTTTGGAGGGTTTTAAGCTTTGTTGGAATACTAAGTTCTCTAAAGGCAATGTCTACTTTGATTCCATAAAAGTCTTATCCCTTATCGATTATAACCTCTTTAAGATTAACTCTTTCTCTGAATATATCAAGAAAATTAGGGAGCTTATCATGAATAATTAGGAAATCACTTTCAACCACGTTTATAGATAAGCAAATAAATGCGCCGACTTGCTATCCTAAGATAGCTTCGATAATATGATTTTGGATAACTCGCCTCTTGATTGCATCAATCTTATAATTTTAGACATGACTTGATTTTGTCTCATTGCACAATTTTTCCGTGGCATTGTATTAAAAAAAAGATTTGCTTTGAAGTAAATTCTAATTTTGAGATATTCAAGCCCAAATCAAAAGGTTTTTATATACAGCATGAAAGTAGATAGCCTCTCCACATGTAAAAAAGATAACTCCTAATCATTCTTTCGTTTGCAATGATAATAAACAAAAGTCAAGGTCAATCACTATACAATGTTGGTCTTTTATCTACCGAAATTAGTTTTCACACATGACCAATTGTATGTTGCACTTTCTAGAGTCAGAAGTATAAATGGCTTGGGAACAAACAAGTCAAGACAACCACTACCAATGTGGTCTTTCATGAAATCTTCTAAAACCTCCAAGCTATGAATGCTTGATTTGCTTATGAATATTATTTTTTGAGCTACCTATGTAGTGAATAATGGCTTCCTTAACTCTTTTTTGGCAAAATGCAACAGTTTATATTAAGTATTATCTCATTTTCTTCTTGATCACATGCTACATATTATGGTTATAATTATATGAATTATGATATCATTACTTAAATTTAGTTTTTTCTATTAGGTATACTCGTGCAATGCATGGGTTTGTAACTAGCGTTAGTGGAAACAAAAAGAAGCATGCAACTGCAATCCCACGCATTTGCACGGTGGCACACAAAAAGATTTGCTTTGGAGTAAATTCCAATTTTGACCCACTTTCAACCATCGTCTTCATTTGCTTCGTGACCCACTTTTAAATCCACTAAACACACCTTGTGAAAATTTATTGTTACATATTGTACGCATATTTGTATATTTTATTTTATTTTAATTTCTGCAGACAATTTCATTGTCATTATTATATTATTTCAAATTTATGTTGAAGATAACGTCAACATAAAAATAATAAGTTTTCATAACATTTATCAAACTCAAATGTTTTATAAAAAAAATTTTAAAAACTTGTGTTCAGCCTTGTATGCTTAACATACATTTTTTTTCCAATCAAGCTAGGACAACGAGAATTTTTCACGCATCTGTCTCGATTTCCTATTGTTAAATGTTAACACTTATTTAAAAAAAAAAATTGAAACCCGTTTCCTCTGATTTGATTAATGAGAATAGTTCAAGTGCATAAATATTCTTCATTTCTATAACCATATGCATTTTCTAATTGCATGACTAATTTGTACTTTGATGTGCCAACTACCAACTATCAAGTACAAGCAAATTCATGTTTGTTTGTTTGCTTGTTTTTTTTTTTTTTGAAACTTGATTTCTCTTCATTTCTTTTCTCTCCATTTTTCATCTCAACTATTGAATCAAAATTTTAAATGGTTCGAAGTTAATATTTTTATAAAAATTAATTTTTTTTTATTTTTTAATTACAATCATAAATAATTAATTGTAATTTAAATCAAATTTATTATATTTTGTTATATTTTAAATTTATTTACTTATTTTTCATAATTTCACATTTAATACTCATTTTATAAAATATTAAATCCTAACCGTTAAAAATTTAATTCATTGGTTGGAATGAGAAGTGAAGAAGAAATGAAAAAAAAAAAATGGAGAGAAGCTAATTCTGATTTCTTTTGGGAGGGGGGGGTAGGGAGATGGCAACTTTTAAGTACAAAAAGCATTCTGTAATTGTGCCCAAGAATACTTCTATAGTAAGGGATCAAGAAGAATTTTATTAAACAGGAGATGCTGTGAGGACACACACTGGATGCCACCACCAGAAGGCAAATTGTGATTTGATGTTGATGGGTCTGTCATTATGAAAGGACATGCAACCTATGGAGGAGTATTAAGGGATTGGCGAGGTGATTGGATATTAGGTTTTAAATAAAACTTGGATATCCTAAATCCTTTAGTCACAAAGTTAATGATAATTTATAATGCTTTTCTCATCATCAAAGAACGTAATATGCAAGATGTTACTGTGTTCACTGATTCTTTAGGTGTGCTGAATTTGCTAATTAAAAATGACAAACTTTATCATCCACTTGATGACACTATAAAAGAAATCAAATAAATTTGGTCAGAGATGCCTCATGTCAAGATCACTTACACTTATCATGAAAGAGTCAGATGTGTCAATCAACTTGCAAAGAATGCCTATGAAGAAGGGTTTGGAGTGATTATTATTCCCTCAATGCCATTAGAATGTCTGAATCTTTTTATTTCTGAATAGAGCAACCCTGTTGGGTTAGTCTAGCTTGTTTTGTCTTTTATTTTTTCAAGTTGTTATGCTTGCCTTGTCTATTCCAAAAAAAAAAAAAGAATGCTTCTATAGTTTTATTAGAAACAATCATATGAGATATTATCGAATATTAAATGTGAATACATTTTTTAAAGAAAATTCAAATTTTAGTTTACCATGTTGTGAAAAACTAACCCTCCTATCAAAGCCAAGGTATTTTTTAATTTTTTTTTATAAATATCCTCCCATTGAAGGCAATTCCACTTGAGATGCTGATATTAAAAATATGCACTTCTCCCAATAAAATTTTAAATATTAGTTTGTTATGTTGTGAGGGATTAGTTTTTTTTTTTTCAATAGATCTTGCTTGTTGGTACCAAAAGCATTTTCAAGTGGTTAAGAATCTTTCACAGGTTTTAAAAATGTCCACAGCCCATTCAGCCTTTGGGCTACAAATAAACCTCCATATCAATTATCTAAAAGAAAAACTCAAGCCCTCGACATCAGACCCAGAAAAAGATGCTCCATACAACTTCCAACATAATTCATCCATTATAGCCGATGGATCAACCTGATATCAACAAAACAAAAAAATGGGGGAAAAAAGCAGTTTTCTTAATAATTTACAACAGTATATTCTATTCCACTAATCCTCCTACCTGATGAACAAATACAAGAACGTAAACATATGCTATAATATTACAGATCAACTTACACACTAATCCTGTATTCAGTGCATGTCAGAAACACATGTAAAACTCCAAATTGAGAACCTTATTCAACGGCTAATATATTCGAGGTATACTATAATATTGTCGAACATAGTCCAGCATACTAACCCCGGATTTAATGCATATCAAAATTCAAAAAGACTTCTATAACTTCAAATTGAGAATCTCACTCAACGGCTCATACACTTGAGGTGTCGCTCCAGGAGGAGTAAACTGAGCAGGTGTAGATTCCTCTTCAAGTGCCGCCATAGCAGCCTTCCTTCTTTGCTTCTTTTCACGATGCCTTTTCAGTTTATCCTCTAGATCTGCTTTAGCTTTCTCTGCCAACTCAGCTCTGCTAAGAGCTTGGTCTGCACGAGCCCTGAGCTCCCCAATCTTTGCTGTAGCTGCTTCCAACTCCATTTTCAACATTGCTGTTTCAGACTGGCTTCCACTTTTCTTCATTGCTGCTTTAGCTTCATTTGCCTGTTCAACCTTCCTGGTTAAGGACTCATATTCCTTCAATGGGATCGTGATATGGTCATTGTTACTCTCAGTGTTGCTTTCTCCAGCTGCCTCAATATCTTTCTCCTTGATCTTGTTCATCTCACCTATGAGTGATTCGGTTGTACTATTCAGGCCATTTGCTTCTTTCTTTGCATTGACGACTTCTTGTTTCAACTGATTCAATCCAGTTTCCAGTGCTTCAATATATACAGTTTGATCCATACTCTTTCTTTCCTTTTGTCCCATGTCATTGCGATCCTCTCTTTGCTTAATCTCAACCTTGAGCTCCTCCAGTTTCTGTAGAATTTGTCGTTTCTCCTCCTTTTCAATGTTGAAGGCTGTCTCCATCTCCTCTATTTTGGTCTGTGCCTTGAGTTCTGAATCTTTAGCAGCAAGAAGTTCCCCTTCTTTCTTCAGTAGCATCCCCTCTCTGGCCTTCAATTCACTCAACAACTGTGAAATCTGCTCTCTGAACTTAGGATTCGCTGACTGATCATCCATCTCTTTCATCATGGATTCAAGCTCATCAATGCCAGCTCTTCTGTCATTGCCTTCATTCATGTGTTTTTTTCTTTGGGAATCAGACTTCTTCAGCAGGATGAACAAATCAGAATTTAGCCTCTGGTAGTGTTCCACCTTACGAAGTGCCTGCACATAAGCAGCATGTTTTGCTTCCAATTGTAACTTGCAGTTCGCGAAATCCTTTTTCAAGTCCTCGACCTCTTTTTCATAGTCACGCTGGTGAACGTGTACGGAAAAAACAGCATTCCATTGACGATATGAGAATGTATGGAGTAACAAATGAAAAGGAAGTTCAATTTCCAAGCTTTGTGGTTTAGATAGCATTAACCCAATTTTAAGAATTCATAATTGGTTATTAGGATGCTCAGAATTTATTGAAATCTAAACCATCAGTTTGTCACCAACATTAAATCAGATCTTCAATATGTATACAATCGAGTGCTTGGAGAAAGAGAGGCGGGCACATAATTCACATCCCTTTACTTTATGCCAAATGAATGAAACTTTCGAAACTACAGAGACACTGGATGGAGAATTACTAATATGTACTCCACTCTTTGAAGTGCATCGCAGTATAATTCAACTTCAAGAGCATAGATTACTGATTCATGATACTACAACATTATTTAAGAAAAATTCACTCTCAGCTCTGCCGCATTATACCTAAATACAGAGAAAAAGCAAAATCACAAAATTACTCTCAAGTCTTGCATCTTTTACTGAAATTATTAATTTGTTAATTAGTTGTTAGCGGAGTTGTTCAGTTGTCAACCGGACAACAATAACCAACAACTATCTGGTAGCAATAAAAAAACACAAGACTCCAAAGTAATTTTATAATTTCATGGAACTTTTCTGTATCTAGATTCCGGGACCTGAGAGTAATTTTACCAATTACTTAACCAGAAAACCTCGAGGTCTCTATTGCTTGCTGATCTCACCTTACTCTTCCGATGCACATGTTTCTTGTGATGATCTTTTTCACCAGACAAGGCGATGTCATTCCTAACTGATTCAGATTGTGTTGTATAAGTCCCATCCATAATTTTGGTCAACAAAGTCAAAAACCCCTAAAATCGGTGGGAAATAATCTGTCACATTGGGAGAAAAACACGCAAGGCGAAATCAGAGTCCAAATCCAGTTGGGGCAAAACCACACTGAAGCAGTAATGCGTTTGCACGTGAAATCAGATTTTATAAACAGAATTTCAGTATGATAAAGATTGAAAAGATACCCGAATTGGCAGGAAGAAGCAGAGAAAGTGGGATTGTGGAAGACGAAGGGAGAAAGAAGGCGTGAAAAATGATAGTTGAGGAAGTAGTGGGTATTAAGGGGGTTGAGTTGAGGTGATTGCCCTCTTGGATATTAACGAGAATGGGAAATTTGTCAGGGGGCCAAGTGGATTCACAGTACATAACTCATATTACGTTTGCTTCTTCCTCGGTGGGATCGACAAATTTGGTTGAGCCCATTTTATCCATGTAGCTGAATTTGTTAACAGCGAAAATTAAGGATGCATGGATGCAAAATTTCGAGAGAATACAACAAACAGATGAGTTGACAATCCTTAATTTCCTTGCTTATCTTTGGAAATATGGTACACTAGATAATTATATATTTTTTTGTTATGCTGTTTATAAATTATTTTTAACATACTTTATTATAATTAATAAAAATTTTAAAATTTATTAACCTTATTTTAAAATTTTATTTAATAAATTATTAATTTTGTCCCTATTAAATATAATATTTTAATAATATACTTTCTCTCACTGATATTTAATGGAGAGCAAAAATAATAATAATAATTTAATGATATGATTATAGATTAAAATAAATCTCTCCATTCTGCAAATAAAAGCCGGAGGGAGTGACTCTGAAGAATTGATCCTAATTATAAGGTCAGACATATGGCTAGTGCAACTTTTTATTTTGGAAGCATAGGAGAGCAGGCAGGGGTGGATTCAGGCATGCAGCATCATATTCATTTGACCGACTAATAAATTTATTTTATTTTATTTTATTTTTTTCCTTAAAAAAAAGTAATCAATACTGTAAGTGGAGGCCATTAGGAATTAAGGAGAATGATAAATAAAGATCTTATAAAAATATTAATATTAAATTAAGATTTTTTAACATTGATATTCTCAAATTTCATTAATCCTTCAGTATTAAAGTTCTTAATTTGATATTAATGTAGTTACAAGGTCCTTACTTATCATTTTTCATTAGAAATAAATAAATAAATAAATAAATATATATATATATATATGAATCTCCTTCTCCTTTGTTAATTGAAAGTAGGCAAGCCTAATACTATGCTTAAAGTGGGAGAGAAAGCAACATTTTTCCCTACTTGGCTAAGGAGAGAAAAGTAGAAGGAAGAGAGAAAAATGAGATAAAAATAACATATATGATCTGTATATTTTTATCTCAAACTTTCAAATATGAGGAGATTTTAAAGAGAAAATTTTATTTTCAAATTTACCTACCAATTCTTTCATAGTTGCCTCTTGCTTCCCTTCATTTTATCATGATATTTATAGTGTAGTTATATTAGGATAATAAACTTTTATTAAACAAGAAGTATATTTAATTTTTAAATTAATTAGACAAATATTATTTCTAATTTTTTAGGTTAATTTTTAGTTAAGTATCTTATATTTAATTGTATTTTCAAATTTTAATATTATTATATATTTAATAATTTAATTAATAAAATTTTAAACTGGATAAAATAATTTTTAATTATGTTTTTGTAATAATATGTGATAAAAATTATTATTTTATATATATATATATATATATTAAAATATTAAATTTTATTATATAAATATTTTTATAAATAATAAAATTATTATTGTTCATATAAAATCAATAATTTTTCTCTCTTTCTTGTCTTTTCTCGCTTAGTCAAATATAATGTGAGAAAATTATATATCTTTTAACTTTTCTCTTCTCTTCTTCTTCTTTTTTTTCATTTTCTTTCATTCATATTTTTTATCTGCAGGCTAAACACAGCATGAAACTCTGTGAATCGAGCCTGAAAACAGGCAAAAACAAGATACTTTTCCTACGGATTAGAGAGCTTCATCTCTCTCCGGCCTCTTGCCATTAGAGTTATTAGCCAACTAGATTTTCATCCTCTCCGAACATTCTCTCAAGCCATCTCTTCATCCGCAATATTAACTATTAGCTGCTTTTGTGATGCACAGATTCATGGCTGTTAGGGTCTCTATGCAATTTCTGTAGTTGGATAAATTTGGATATGATTGTTGGGATTAATTTGGAGCCAATATCATCGAAAATATAGTTTAAACTGTTGGATTCATTTTAATCTAATGACTGATGATATTGTGCATAAAGAGACAACTTAAGACAACGTTAAGAGATGATCTGAATCCTTAGCAGATCTTAGGGTAAGATTCTTGAATATGTTTTTTGTGAAAAAAAAAATCGATAAATATAATTTAAGGCAGGCAGACCAACTTGTTGAACGATGATGATTAAGATTAGTATAAAGTTAACTTAAAGCAACCTTTTCGTATAATTTTTCCCCCCTTGTAGACGATAGAAGTGGGTATCATGGTTGTTTATATGATAACAAATTTTTTTTAAAAAAAACACATTTATGTCCGCTAACAAATAGCACTCTTGGTATATCCCAAATAGTGGGATCTCGTGGATCAGTTATAGTTTAAAAAATGAGTTGCTTCATAAATATACTACAATTTATTAAAGTTGAAGGAAGGTATATGAGCATTGTTGAAGAAGGTGAAATGTCATTGACGGCATGATGAGAGTTTACATCTCCCACATTAAAGCGTGATAATTGAATGTGATGTATCGCCCGCCTCTCCAACAAAATTATAATCATACAAATTCAAATTTAGTTTACAATTCAAGCTATGTAGCTATTGGTTAACCAGGCTCCAGGCATGAGAACAGTTCCATACATCTTTTATTTTTTTATTTTTTGCCTATCATCCTTCTTTTATTTATATATAGTAAGTTATCTAGCATCAGAAGCCAAGGCTTCGACTAATTTGTATCAAGCTAGGTTAGAATTCTTTAGTGTGAAAGCTCTACCATCAAATACTGCTACATTTTTATGGTTTAAGTTTAAAATCTTTAGTTAAACTGGTACAACTCTCTTGCTAGTTGAATGAAACAAGCGTTGGTTTATCATGTATGGTAATTCTTATTGAAGTTTCAGCCCCTAAAAGTCAACATTAGAATAGGATTTTGAAAAGGCACCTTTACTACCAGGGAAAAGAAACAGAGAAAGTAGGATGGAGGAGGAAAAGATACCTTGTATAATGTGAGTGAGTTTAGAGTGAAGACAGCGTGCGCTCAAAACCAAAAAAAAAAAAAAATGGAGAAAGCTCTCACAACTGTGGGGAGCTTTTGGATCTCCAAGAAAGCCAAACAAGAATTCTCCAATATCTCCAACGACTTGTCCGTAAGTTCCTTCCATCTCTCTCTGCGTTCATCAAAATATGCATAAACATTTTAGAGGTTCACTTCAATGTTGGATTTTCTGTTTGGTTCTAAAATTCCAACGTCGTTACTGCATCAGCATTGTCCATCATAAATCTACTTTCTGCAATCTTCATTCAACTGAAAAGTGCTTCTTTCCCTAGCATGATAAATATCTTCTCTGAATTCACAAACCATACCACTGGGATCTGCTTGGCCTTCTTACTTGCATAGATTGGTGTAGTTTAAACCTTATGGATTTGTTTTTGTTTCTCTTGCTATTTTTCTGAACTTGTGTGATTGCAATTTTCTCAGTCTCTCTCAAATTCTGTTGAAGGCATGGCAAAATGCTTACTGAACAAGCTCACAGGTACTTCTCACATCCACAATATTCTGTACTGGGCTTACAGCACTAGAATATAATTGAGTAAGGATGGCATATTTAGCACAGCATAAATTTTTAACCTGTGCAGCATTTGTGTTGAGTGTATCTGTTCTCAAGTACTTTTGATATATGCTTTGACAATAATTGAAGTTAAACCTAAAATGAACAATAATTGTGGTAGATATACAGTATTCCATATAACAGCATGGACAGTAATTGAAGTTTAGGAGCAGATTAGCCATAGCCATTTATCATGGAGATCATCCAAATCACTTATCCCAGTAGGACAGAATTAGCATGAAACAGTCAATATGGGATTACACACTAAACTCAGTATCTGTTGATAACATGTTTTTGTGGGGGAAGTTAAAGGCAAACAGAGGAAGGAGATAGGAGAAGTTCTGAGAGAGCACAACATACCGGGGGGAATGTTCCCAAGCAACATAAAGTGTTACGAGTTTGATGAATCAAAAGGGAAGCTGACAGTGCACCTTGCCTATCCATGTGAGGTCTGCTTCAAGGACTCGTCCCTCCTGAGGTACTCCACGCGTGTGAAGGCCAGCTTGTCAAGGGGAAAACTCACCGTTTTGGACGGCATGAAGACGAAGCTTCTTGTGTGGGTGAAGGTGTCTAGTGTGTGTGTTGAGAGCTACAAGTCTGACAAAGTTTGCTTCACTGTTTCTGGTGGCGTCAAGATAAGCAGGCCCAGAGATGCTTATGACTTGCCTCGCCCAGCCATTCAAGTCCATGACTTCTGACTTCGTCTTTATATCATTTGGTCTCATCATCATCTGCTCATGTAATAGTGAGAGGTTTCACTCATTTGAATGAGGTTTTAAGATTTTTATGGACTGTCATGTTTGAATAGAAATTTAGAACGGTGGGGACTGCTTTGTATGGGATGACGTGAGATTTAGAATTAGGATGGCTCTGTCGTGTGTCCTATCTCGAGCAAGGAAACAACATGAAATTTCTATCCTTTAGGATGGGACAAGACTGCAAAAATCGTGTAAAAACACAAAGACTAGTAAAAGAGAATTGAAAACTTATAATTTAATTAGATTTTGTTTTCAATCTCTCTATTTTTTTTTTCAATATTTTTAATTTTTATAGCTTCTCTAAGATTGATTAGGTCCCTCTAATTTTAGTGTTTTTAATCTTTATAAGGATTTAAAATGCTAAAAAAATTATAAGGACTAAAAATAAAATCTGATAAAACTACATGAATCAATAATTATATTTTCTCTAAAAATTAAGTAACCAATCTTTGACTATATTGACATCTTCGAATAATAAATATTCAAGTACATATTTTTACATTTTCACAATAGATAATCAATTTATTTTAAGCATCACCTTTCAATAATATCAACAAGACATAAAATAATGAGAATTCTGGTAAATCTAAAATAAAATATATTATCTTATAAATCTGAATAATTAATATATTGCCTTAAATTACAAATTGGAATGCACTAACTAGTTGCTATAGAACCAGCAACTTTTTGTAAATGTAAAATTCTTTCTTCCTTTTACCAGTTTTACAAGAAACTATTAATATTAATATTAATATTAATTCTATAGCAAGCGCATTCCAGCTTGCAATTTATAAAGGGCAATAAATCCAACACAACCATAAGAGACCGATAACATAACTTAAGTGCAACAAAATATTTATTAAACTATATAACTTCCTAATTGAAAGTAAACATGAAAAACAAAGCCTTTTCTTTGCAAAATAAAAATACTAAGATCTAACTTTAGATATTTAAAATTTTAAACAACAATATAAAAGACTGAATATAAACACACACACATGGAATGAGACATCCTTATGATCACACGAGTTTCGCCTCGTCCTATGCTTAAATTTGTTTTGATTTCATTGTGCCTCATTTCGCATATTTGAGGAACCCGTTCGGTAGATCTTGACATAATTGGAAGTTGAAACTGGGAGTGGCCAATCCATGACAATGTGATTCATGCATACCCATCCTTGACAACAAAAGGGCCATTGAATATTTATTTTATTTTATTTTTTTGGTAGAGGCCATAGAATATTTTTTTGATTATGAGTATTTATGATGGAGGTATAGTACCTTATATCTTTTCCTTGTACGCCCCAGCAGATCCATGTTAGCTTTCCTTTGACACATTATGGTATCGTCTTAAATTATAAAAGAATTTTAACGTCACAAAATATAAAATATTTAAAAAAATTAATACTTCATTAAATAAATTTATTTTAATATTATTATTCCTTTTTATAATTTATTTTTTTATATTTTTTATTTTTAACATATTAAATAAAATATATTTTTAAAATTTAATATTTATATTTTAATAAAATATATTATTAAATATATTTAATAAAATTTATTAATATGTAAGATTCCTTTTGCAAAAATTTTGTTTATATATTGATATATATACTCTCTCCAATATTATTTATAAGATATCTCTTAAATTTTTTTTTTTTCAAAATGCAAGACAATTCACAATAGTTAAATCACTTTTTAAAATTTTTTTTATTTAATTATCATAAAAATATTTAATATAATTATATTATAATTTAAAATTAAAAATAAAAATAAAAATATATTTCATGTTTTTATAATATAAAAAATAAATTTTTTTTAAAAAAATACGTGAAATAATTAAAAATGTAATATAATAAAAATAAGATAGAGCATAGATACATAAATAGATAAATATATGGATATAGATAAAAGGCTGAAGAGTTTAAAGGGAATCCATTGGTCATCGCTGCAGTGAATCCAACGGCCAGGAACGATTCCGGTCCCACTGCGAAAATGTGCTCTGCTCAAGTGGAAACCCTAGTTTGGTTTCCGATGCATCCCAAAGATATCCGAATCTTATATATCTCTATCTGCCTTCGCATCGTCCTCTCCGCCCCTCGGGCTCTGTAATTTTGTTTCTCCTTTCTGAGTCGGTCCAAGTTGATACGGTGCGTTTTGCTTAGGGCATCCAATCCCACCATGTCGGACGAGGAGCACCACTTTGAGTCCAAGGCCGATGCCGGAGCCTCCAAGACCTACCCTCAACAAGCCGGCACCATCCGCAAGAACGGCTACATCGTCATCAAGGGCCGCCCTTGCAAGGTCTCTCTCTGGTTCATCCATTTGCTTCCCCCCCTTTTTTTTCCTGTCCCCCTCCATTCGTTTGCCTCAAAATTCTTCTCTGAATGATCAATACATAGTTTGTTAGTTAACCAGATGGAAAGTGCAAATCAACTTTACTCTGATGATTTTGAAGCATGGTTGATATGATTTATGGTTAACCAACTGTTAATAGATCCAGTACTGATTAATGGGATGGTTTCTTGTATGGTGTTATGATCGAATTATTGTGTTGTTTTCGGACGTTAGAGGGGCGATTTTCACTATCTACTGATTTTGGTGCGGTTTATGGACGATTTGTGGGTCTTAATTTCTTTAATGAATTCATATATATGTTGATTGACTTCTCGTCTGATTGGTGTTTTATTTTCTAAGTGTTGTTTTGAAGTTTTGTTTTGTTTATGTGTTCCTGTTTCTTTGTTGCAGGTTGTTGAAGTTTCGACTTCCAAGACCGGCAAGCACGGTCACGCTAAGTGCCACTTTGTTGGAATTGATATTTTCACTGCCAAGAAGCTTGAAGATATCGTGCCCTCTTCCCACAACTGTGATGTATGCGCTTAGTTTCAATTTTCAATTTTTTGATCTCTTTTTTATGTAGTCTTCCTTCAACATGATTCTGAATCGTAATTTTTTGCAGGTCCCGCATGTGAATCGTACTGATTATCAACTAATTGATATTTCTGAGGATGGATTTGTGAGTTTCTTTATCTAGAAATGATACCCTCTGTTTACTCAAAATTCATTCTGCTTCCATATTCTGAATGTACTTTTGCTACTGAACGATGCCATAGGTGAGTCTGCTTACCGAAAATGGGAATACCAAGGATGACCTGAGACTTCCTACCGATGAAAATCTGCTTAATCAGGTTTGTCTGGATTTTAGTATGTATAAGAAGTTTTGTGTATTTCTTAGATTTATTAAATGATTAAATACATAAAAAGAAATTATATTTTGGAATTGTAGCACCAAGTAAATTTTTTGAATCTTAATATTACCTCATTTCGTTAGTCAGGTTGTGGGGAAAATCTTGAAGTTGTCATTGTTTTTGTGTTGGTAGTCTCTAATTGATTTTCCACTCACTTTTCTCTGCAGATAAAGGAAGGATTTGCCGATGGAAAGGACCTTGTTGTTTCTGTCATGTCCGCCATGGGAGAGGAGCAGATTTGTGCCCTGAAGGATATCGGGCCAAAGTAGTTGCTTCCATTATATGCCGGTCGTTTGTTTCCATTTGTTTAATCTCAAGATATTTTTGTAAGCCTTTTTAAGTCTTCGCGGCAGATGGGTATAATCTTGCCGATGGTTTTTATGCATGTGTTCAGATATAAACTTTTTCACTTATGGTTTGTCCGGAAATTTTCACAAGAAATAGGAGCTCCATTAGCTGATGTTTTGACTTCCCAAATCATGAGAGAGCAGTAAGCTTGCTAATTTTGATGAAATTTATAAGGTTGCGCTAAGGTTAAAAGTCTTTATGGATTGTTACCCGTCGCATTTAAAACATGGGGACAAATCTTTGTCGTTGACTTCAATTCCATCACTCTTGGGAGAGCACTTTTTGCTGCGAAAAATGTCACAATCTTCATGAGACATGGCTTCCTATCTATGAATGGTTTGATTTTGTGCAAGTGTTGTCCGCCTTCAGTTTTTTTTTTTTTTTTCTAAATACATGACCACCACAGCAATCTGTGCAAAGAGATTAAGAACGAGTCATTTTTAAAGTTAAGAGGCTTCTTTAGTTATGTGGGGAAACATTGAAGATTGTAGTATAAAATTTGTCATGGACTATCTGGTTGGCAAGTGATAAACATGATTAAAAGTGGCAATAAATGTGATTATAAGTGGGGATAAATGTGATTTAAAGTGGTCACTCAATCTTTCATTGTGAGATTTTTTATTTTTTTGATGATGTTAGATAAGAGATGACTTTCAGAATAGTAGTAATTAATGAGAGGTAAGGCTTTTTGGAGTGTGAAAGAACATTAACTTTAAATAATTTTTCATTCTCACATAGTATAAGGCTTTCATGGATTTTCATTAGCCCAATTGTTGTATTAGGTTTCATTAGCCCAATTGTTGTATTAGGTTAATGGTCAAGATATTTGGAAAAGCTTTTAATTCAATTTCTCTTGTCATGCCTCCACAAGCAGTAGCGCTATTAATATTAGCTGTGCTATTGTTTTTAAGTTTATTGTCTTGTTGATTGCTAAAAAAGGCAATATTGCCATACAGGATCTTATTTTTAGAGTAGAGTTTTTTGCATCTAGTTTTTTTAAATATTCCAGCAAGCTTAGGCGAAAAAATTGTGTCAAGGTATTCTTTTTGTATTTAAGCTTCTTGCTTCATTCTTTACATTTCAAATTATTCAATCTTGTAAAAGTCTGCCTTCAGCTTTATTTACAAAAGTTGGCTGAGAAACAAATATTTTTATTGTCTTGTTGATTGCTAAAAAAGGCAATATCGCCATACAGGATCTTATCTTTGGAGTAGATTTTTTTGCATCTAGCTTTTTAAATATTCCAGCAAGCTTAGGTGAAAAGATTGTGTAAAGGTATTCTTTTTGTATTCAAGCTCCTTGCTTTATTCTTTGCATTTCAAATTATTCAGACTTTTACTACCTTCAACTTTATTTACGAAAGTTGGCTAAGAAACAAATACTATTTTCTTATGCTCGTATTAAGTAGAAAATACAATATGTGATGAGTTTGTGGTGAAACTTGAAAACTTTCATGAAGCAAAGAAAGCTGTTCTAGAAGTTGGAAGGTATGCTGCGCGGACTTAGAAGGAGAATTTTTATACTTTGTTTCAAAGATGAATGTACAACAATTGGGGTCACCAAGCATAGAGCCGAGAATAAGGGCCGAGCGTGAAGGACCGAGCTTGGAGACCTTGTTTAAATAAAGACTTAGGCTTTAAAAATAATTTTTTAAAAAAATAATTGAATTTGAGGGCTTGGCATTGATAAGCACTATAAAAAAAAGCTCGGGGTCGAGCTGCCTTTTAAACCCTATTATATTATTATTATTATTATTATTATTATTATTATTATTATTATTATTATTATTATTATTATTTTCTTTAATGGAACACATGTTTAAGCCAATGACTTATTCACATAATCCTACACATATTATATTATTATTAATTTTAATTTATTTTAAAATTAGTTTAATATAGTTAAATAAATATCAATGTATAGTATAAAATTTTTAATATTTTTTATTTTTTTATAATTATTATGTTTGTGTATATATAAAAAATGAACTGTTTTTTAACCAAGATTTGAATTTTATTACTAGACTTTTAAATGTGAGTTGTCTAATTTTTAAAAAACTATGAAGATTTTGATTTTTTTAATTTTAAAATATTTTAATTAATTTATAATATTTTATTTTATTTTAATTTTTAAATTTTTTAAAATAAGGCTTACGGGCCCGGCTCTAAACCTTTTATAAAAAGATTGGGCTTGAGATATTAAATTAAAAATAAAAAATTAAGTTTTAAAATTTAAACTCTTAAAGATTGAGTTTATAAAAATCAAGCTTTTTAAAACCGAGTTTGTCTTTTTTTTCAGCTCTAATCAAACATGCCTGAATACGACATCGCGATGATGACATCCACACTAAACGCAACCGAGGCCTGGAGTGTCTTGCCCGAGCCCATCTAGTGCTGACCCCTTCCTTCCAGAAGCACGCTGATCAGCTTAATCTTTTAATTCATTATTTGAAGTAATCTATATCTGTATGCTATATCTGTATCTTCTATGTATCTATACCTATATCCATGTAACATTGCATTTGTCTTCGCCAACATTTTAATTTTTTTTGAATTTTTATATAATTTTTCTCTTTTCAATTTTTACATAATTTTTAAATTCTAAATATTAAAAAATAAGTGCTAATATACACACACATATATCTCAATTTTTTTTTAAAATAATTTTAACCACTAACTATTTGTACCGTAGTTTTGCCCAACACAAGGTTGAGATTTGAATCGCAAACAAAATATTTTTATTTTTAAGACGCATAAAATTATAAATGGTATGACAGTTTTTCTTATAAAAAAAGAATAATTTTTTAATAATTGTTTAAAGTTTTTTAAATTAGGGGGAGAGTAACAAATAGATTGTAAAGATAGTTTAGTAATTTTGAATTTTTCAATATAATTACAAATAAAAAATTAAGTACTTTACGATTTTTAATAAAATATTATTAATAGCATTAAAAATTAAATTAAAGTGTATATTTTGAAAATATAAATGAGGTCTCTATAATATTAGCAAAATTATCCAAAAAAAATCATTGTATTGTATTCAAGATTTTAATAAATTTTTTTATTTTTTCACTCTCTTCATTTTCCTTCAATTCCCATCAAATCAATTCCTCATTCCTATCAAATTAAATAGATGATAATTAATATCACATGTATGGCATGGGTGTAAAATCTAGTTGTTATCAAATCTTGGAAAACAATAAACTTGGCTAATCGCTAACACAGCGGCACTACCCTGTACCATAAATATGGGGTGAAGAGATTCTTCCTTTCTTTTCTCAATTCTCACCTTTTTTTAAATTTATAAATAAAATAAATTTATTAATAAAATAAAATTAATAATGGAGATTGAGAAAAAGAGGGAAAAGGAGAGAAAAGAAGGGAAGAGATTCCCCTACAATAAGCATCCCAAAACAGCACGCTTATATATATATATATATATATATATATATATATATTTTTTTTTTTTTTAAAATCAAACAATCCAATTAAACTTGTACGGCTGCACCGCAGGGAGACCAGCCTAGAACGTTATAACCTTGATCCTCATGATTAGTTCGATGCCTGTGCAACTTTTAACTTGGCTTCTTGCGAGTCCTTCGAACGAAAGAGAGGAGGGATGAGTTCTCCGCCGCATCGCTCTCCCGACGGCGGCGGCGGCGACAGACCCAGATTCTTCGACTCCAAGGCCAAGAGCCTCTGCTGGGCAAAGGCTGATGTTGTGCCCGGCCGTCATCCAGACAGGTGGCGCAAAGACGCCGCCGGCAACATTTTGTGCAAGCGCCTCTTCAACTGTCAAGGCTGTCTCTGCTTCGAATACGATCACATCATTCCCTTTTCCAAAGGTTCCCCCCCCTTTTCAACTCTATCATCTATGCCCTCGCTTTAAGCCATTAATTTCTCGATTTGCTAGTTTCAATTTTTCTGGGATGTTGTCTTTCAATGTTTTCCAATCGTCATGTAGAAATGACAGCATTTAAAGTCTATGACTCTGACTGGTAATAGGATTGTGGAAAAGTTGCAGCAGCTGGCAAGTGAGTAATGAAGTGCACAATAAAATTTTGAATTGACAGGTAATTTAGAGAGGGTTGGGAAGGCTTAAATAAAAATAATGCTTCCGATCAAGTAGCAGTAGCTTGGAGTCAGCACTCTTACGTGGCAACCAATGGAAATTTTATGGCTTTTCTGTAGATTTCATCCTTTCAAAAGTGTACCTTGGATGAAAAATGAGTGTCCCTGTTAACTAAGGAGGTGCACTTATTTGTGCAAACAGATAAAAATTTGGATCTATAAGTGATAGTATTCAATAGTCTTCTTTTTGACCATTAGAAATGGACAGATGAGTATCCTTTCATCTGACTTAGATTGTTTGGTTCACAGTTGTCACTGATGAATATATTAGTTGGCACTAATGATGGAAATAATCAAACCATGAAATAGAGTGTTAATAATGGCAATGTGTAGAATATGATAAAGTCATCGATTTTGGAGACTATTGTTGGATGCTACTCCATGTGATTGCTGCAATCTTATTTCATAAAGGAATTAAACTATCAATGATATCGTTTCATTGAGGTTGAGTTGATTGATGGGAAACGTAGTTACAGAATGATGGTCAATGACATAGAATAAAAGAAAAAAATGATATTAAATCTTTAACATGAAATGAGAACCAGCAAGGACCTCGAGTTGCTGCTCCAATCTTCATGGAGCTATTTGATTTCATTAAAATTTTTCTTTGGGGTTTTGGGGCCGTCTGTGTACAGAATGCTTCTTTTAGTTATTCATTGTAAGATAACACCTTCCTTTGGTTTTGCCCTCTTTACTTTTTGTGGAGAACTATAGATGAGCAGAGCATATAGGTTGTGTCTTTACTCATTAGTTGGGTATCGGTAATTTGATAATTAGTTTATCTGAGATGTGAGGTGCTGTTGCAGGTGGTGAATCCACAGCAGATAATTGTCAGATACTACAGACTAGAGTGAACAGATTCAAGTCAAACAGGGATCAGGTTGACCAAGATTGGTTGAAGGGCTATTCATGTGACATTAATTTTTCTGGTACAATTTCTTCATCACTGATGCGTCTTTACCTTTAAGTCACGTGAGTTTATCCCTTTACTCATTTTGCATTTTTGTTTCATATTCCTTAAGGAGTTCATCCTTCCTCTGGTCCTGCTTACCAAGGCAAGACAAAATGTTACCCAGTATCGTATACCAGTCATGTGTATTTCTCGTTGGCTAAAACGGTTTCAAGTTCATGTGCCATATAAAGAGAGGATCAACTTTAGTGCTTCAATTGCATCCTAGAAATACTCTTGGGACAATTCTTTCCTTTCCTTTCCTCTTTTTTTTTTTTTTTTGGGGGGGGTGTAGCGGTGGTGGGGCGGGGAGGATTGAGAAATATGGAGGTGTTGTTCATACCTTTGCACGAAGTAATCTAGTCATCTAACTAAATGCAATTCTTTTCTTGCTTTATATGGTTTCTTTTGTAAAAGTACTTCATGCAAATCTCAAAGGCACTGATGATTAGCTGACAACAGTCCCACTCCCACTTCTGAGTTCTGACAGTGGACATGAATTTTCTTTTGGAGAATTACATTTAGGTCCCTTGCAACACAATTAAATACTACAAGGTCCATTAAATCGTTGTCATTTTGTTATATTCAGCTATCAATGAATCTTATTTTAATCATGTTGTTGATAACTTGGGTGTAACTCTCTCTCTCTCTCTCTCTGTGTTTGGCCAGGTATGCATATACTTTTAAATCCAGGAGAGCTAGATTCAAATCCAATGTTTCATAAATACCATAATGAGAATTTCTCATATTAATGAAAATCTGTTCAATGATGAATATTAGGGTATGATTAGGATGAGAAAGCTCCCTGTGACCCATAACTGATGAGAAAAAACGGGATTATACTCGAATGTCTCCCTCATGATAAGCTATGTATATGTTTTTCATCACATGATTTTCACAGTTTCAGAACAATTGGCAGATAAGGAGCTGGATGTAATAGAGATGGCTGTTTATGGGGACGTGATTAGGCCAGGAAATCAGTGTCGTTGCAGAACGGTAGCTGAAGTGCTTGGCAAATACAAATCTAAAGACACTACAGCTGCGTGTAAGCTGCCACAGGCAGGGGAATGAATCTCCAACAGACAGAAAATCCTAGGTATCAGTGCATCATATAATGTACTCCATGCAATTGTAGGTTTAATCTGCTTCTTCTCATCTAGCAGTGGGACCCACGCGGCAGATTGTTGAGATTAAATTCTGACCATTTTTTTGGAAGAACAGGTCCTTGAGGACTGATATCCAGACACTTCTTTAAGGGCATTGCTATAAGCTGTTATCTTCTGCTTCTGTGAACGGGACATTAACCTAATTTCGGTGTTCCTAATCTCCTGTTTGGTATATCGCAACTTGGTTCTTGAAAATCATGAAACACGTAAGATTTCGATATTTGACAATAGCAATGGTTATAGCTTCTTAAATGTCTTCGGTCAACGTACCGTTCTACTGATGGGGAAGATGCATAGTCATAGTCGTCAACAAGAGGCTTGGCCGAGAAAGAGGTGAGGTGTGATGGCAAGGGTCTTCCACTGAATCTCCGACAATGCTGTAGTTGGGTCTTCATGCATGACCCAGAGTCTAAAAAATAAGTTATATTATTGATAAATAGAAAATAACATGATTCAAAATTCATGTAAACTGAATTTATGTAAGATTTGACGGAGTTTTAAATTGATTGTATGACATAAAACAACTCTTTCTTTATCCGGATTTGTGATCGGATGTAAACTGAATGAAAGTGGGATAATTCTGGTTGTTATTGAATGGTTAGTAGACCACCTTAGTGAACCTTGAGAAGCTGGAAGGAAGCTTCTGGAGCATTATTTTAGTTGAAATTTAAGAGCAACAAGCAGAGAGAAGCGATGAAATTTACTCACTCAATGAACGTAGAGATGAGTCCTCGTCCTCTCAAGACGTGTTACCCTAATTTGCTAGACTGTACCCACCAATTTAATGGTGTAAGCTGCCTCCTTGTTTCATATTGTAGTATCAAGCCCCCTTTCAATTTTAACTATAAATATGGCAGTATTTAGTTGTAATACAACCCGAGATTAAACAACATATTTAATATAAAATTTATATAAATCTTTTAGAGGGCAAAAAAGTATATTGGAAAAAGTTTAAAAATGTATAGAGGTGACAGCGCTTGCTAGTCCTATTTCCCTTTATAAGTGATAAAATATGCTCTCTCATTTAAAAATGTAAAATATTTTTTTAAGGTTGAATGTTAAAAATTATAAAATATTTTTAGTTTTTCAAAATATAATAATATATTTTTTTAAAAAAATTATATTTAATAAATAAATTATTTTATATTCATTTTCAAGTGAAATGCCTATTAAATAAGTGTAAATAGGAAAAGATAATATTAATTTAAATATAATTAACTAATTTATTAAGAATGAGATTTGGTTAAAAATATTATATATTTTTTAATAGAAGAAATATACTTGATTGAATAGCTAGGTGCACCCATTATGAAAAATGAGTTGGGATTTCATTGGTGTTAAATAATTTATTTTACTAGAAATTACATATTCCCTCCGTTAAAAAATATAAGATATTTTTTAAAAATTTGGATATTCAAAAATATAAGATATTTTTAATCTTTTGAGATCTAATCATTATCTTTTTTTCAAAAGTTTTTCTATTGATAGTGACTTTATATTTATTATAAGGTGTTTAATAATAATAAATATAAAAAGATAGGGTTAGTTTAAATGTAGGTAACTACTTCATTGAGGGATGAAATTTGGTTAAAAATACCTTACATTTTTAAATGGAGGGAGTATTTATTATGGATGAAGTATTTTTAAAAGTTTGTGGAAATTTTTTTTCCCACAAATTTTAACTATAATAAGGAGGAACAAACAATGAAAAATCTTAGAATTATTTCTTTAAAAAAAATTTCAAAGTCTTTATTCTTTTTACTTCTATATTTTCACGTCCTTTTAATTTTGAAGGATTTGAGAAAAATGATAACAGAAAAAAAAAATACTCATATTGCTTACCCTCCCCCAATTTTTTTGTCTCATTCTTTATTACAAGGTGCCATTATTGACTATTGAGCTTCCTGAAATACAACTCCAATAGACTTAAACAATTCATTATTACAACTCCAAGTTTGCAGAACCAACAAAAGCATCTTTCATTAAGATTGACTTTGGGGGACTCTTTTTGCTTTTATTGACGCCTGCCCAGTTTGGCATGCGAAAAATATATCCAAAGATACTATTCATATTTTCTCAGTAACGGAAATAAAAACAAATTTTAATAACGATAGATGTAATTGTAACAAGCATTGCACATCATTTTTTTTAACTTGACAACAAATTTATTTATGTAAATGCAGCTGAACAAATCGGGAGATCAATCACACCGAGGTCTCCCAGATTAGATAAATTTGCAATTAAGGCCCAATGCATTTTGATTTTATTCTGCAGGTTCGGGAGTTTTATATGCAAATATGTTTTGGTGAGAAAAGACTCATTTGCCCATCTCAAAACTAACCCATGTTCAACTCTAATCTCTTCCTCCTCCTCTCCTCTTCCTCTCTCTTGCACTTCATCTTTCTTTTCCTTCTCTCTTTTCTCTCACTACCTTTCTTCTTTTGAGCCATTCTATTCCATGGGGTTGTGATTTTGTGTGTGTGTGTGTGTGTGTGTGTGTTTGTGTCTGCAAGATAATAAGAAAGCAAAGGAACAAAGAGATGGAAGCGAGTTGAAAGGGTTCCCAAGTGAGTTGAATGCTCTGCTCCTGCAACTTTTGTTGGATTGAGTGTCGAAGATACTTATTTAGTGTTTTGACCAAATAAAAAAATAGCATTGTCATGAATTGAATTATGTGTTGTGAAAATAGTGACATTGATATGTTAAAATTGAGTATTTAGTTGTTTCAAAAATTTGTTGTTACTTGGTTGTTAATGTCATCTAATTACTTTGTTAAACTTTAAGTTGGTAGTAAATGTTTTAAAATGAATTTTTGCAATAAAATTATAATATTCTACTTATTTATATTAGATGTTTACACGTAAATTGAAAATTTTTTAGCATATGTAGATTCTCAACAAAAGGTCCACAACTAAATATTCAATATAAATAAGATAATGTTAATGTTTTCATAACACATAATTCAGAGTTTTTAATAGAGTATTTTTATATGTGAACATTTAATATGAACAAGTAAAACGTCATAATTTTATTATAAACAATCCGCTCCAAAACATCCATAGTTACCAACTTAAAGTCTAGCAAATAAGTTAGATAATATCAGCAATCAAGTAATTCAAATTTTTGAAACAATTAAACAATCAATTTTAACATCACAGCATCATTATTTTCACAAACATAATCCAATTTATGACAATGCTATTTTTATTTTGGTCAGAACATTATATAAGAACATTGGACCCTTCATCCAATAAAAGTTTTTGTAAATACAATTCTTATCCTGTACACGCACAAGAAAAATTAAAACTAAATTCGCAATCCCATGGAATATGATGACTCAAAAGAAGAAAGGTAATGAGAGAAGGGAAAGAAAGAAGAGGAAGGGAAGAGGAGACAAGAGTCAAACATTGGTTAATTTTGGGACGGACAAGTGGGTATTTTCTCGATAAAACATATTTATCTCTAAAACTCTTGACCTACAAGATAAATTTAAAATGTATTGGGCCTTACATGCAAATTTTTTTAGTCTAAAAGCTCAAGGTAGGATTCTCCCAAACAAATACATAATTATTGGATAACTATCTCACCGCTTATTATATATAAAATTTGCTGAACAACTACAAGAAGCCCCATAAACTTTAACTCATCCAAAAAAATTATTTAAAAAAGCAGCGTGTAATTGTCAGATGCTGCTATGAGGGTGGAGGTTGAGTGAATAATGGGATGTGCGTGTACTACTCAATTATTGGAGTGGTTTAAGTAAATAAACGAGTGTTAATTAAGGCAGACAATTATTTGGGCAAGTACAGAAATAAACGTAGGGAAGACTCCATGATAGAGAATGACAAGCTTAGCCACTTGCAAATCAAGTGACATATATTTCTTTTTCATTATTTTTCTTTTACCAAAACATGCATACTTAAGATGAAGTGAAAAATTTCATGTTGAGTAAATTTAAACTTAATAATTAATATATAATAAAAAAAGGACACTTAAACTTAAGCCTTAAAGTTTTGAATTAAAATGTGACGTCGATTTATTGTTCTTGCTCGTTTCTTCTTTCCCCCTGTTCTTGGGCAATCGTTTCCCATTATTAATAAGTAGCATCAAAGCCATATTTCGCCCTAAGCTCGACTTGGACAATATGGAAGTCCCACTTTGATCAAAATTAAACTTAACAATTAATATATAATAAAAAAAAATAATCTATAAACTTGAGCTTTGAAGTTTTTAAATTAAAATGTGATCTCTGTTTGCTAACTTTGTCCGTCTTTACTCTACCTTCATACTTAGGTGGTTGGTCTCCATTTCCAACATTTTACCCTTCACTGTTGGTATGGACTGATTTTCTTTTTTTTTTTTAAATGACAAATGCCTAGTTAACAAGATAACGTAGACATACATAACATATAATAATATTAAGCATAATACTAGCATGTTATCGAACGGCTAAGTATCAGGTGACACATAGTTTTTAATGCCTATGTAGAAATCTAGCGACAATTAGATAAGCTGGCCAACACAATTTGTCTTCATTTTATAATCCTTTGTCAAAAGCCCTAACTATAGACAACAACAAAATTAAATGTCAACGTCACGGCGGAATTGGAATGAAATGAGGAGGGCTCTTGCCCATTATTATCTCTCCAAAAGAGGGCCACCCAGCTTCTCTTTCCATGAAAACACTTGATTGCCAATTATTAAATTATTAAAAGGGAACATTTTATATTTTTTTGAACCATGAGGAATTTGATAACTTCAGAAAAAACACTATTTTAATTTTTATTCACAATTATCTGCCTCCAATTTTTATTTGATTAGAATGAGGTGATAGGAAATATATAATTTTTGTTATGTTCCTAATATTATTATTAACTTATTTTAATTAATTTCTTATCGTATTACTTTCTTATTCATAAAATTGATTTTTATTTTATTCCATTGTATGCTGCATGCCATGCCAGATCATATGATTCAACATCATCTCTCACTTTTAGAAAAGCAGAATTCCTTGTCCAGCATGAATGATAACTGTGTTCGGAACATTTGATGATGTCATTTTCCCTTTTTCATGGAAAATGTCAACTACTTTAATTTCATGTTTAACACACAACACGCCATATATATGTCATTAAGTGACCCGATATTTTTTTGAAAAAAAATTCAATATCTTTAATTTTTAAGAAAATAAAAATCATACTCTAATATATCAAATTAACTTGCTTTCTTTGTGCATGGTAATGTAAATTTTTTTAAAAATTAAAAAATAATTCTATGTTATAATATTATTTATTGAAATAATTTCATATTAATAAATAAGATTTAAACCCAAAAAAAAAAACTTTTGGATGTTGATTGCTTTAGATGTTTCATCACTATATAGAAATTTGTTATATCATAATCATAATATTCATATGATTTATTGCTTAAATTTCCTAGTGGTATTTTGTTTGACATATTTACACAACAAAAATATCATACCCTTATCAATGGGTTTAGTTTTGCCAAAATAACTAGTTTATGGCAAATGAATGCTCAAAATTTTTTTAGAAGAGGTCCTTATATTAATCTCCTATTGTGTTTTGAATAGAATTATTTTTTATAAAAAAATATTTGTGT